ATGTGAGTTACTAGTGAACAAGAGTAGCAACAACACCCAGACAGAGAGCTATAGAAGATCACAGGACATAAGGTGCTTTAGATGTGGCAGGAATGGCCACATCAAACGGGATTGCCGCGTTCATGCGATCCCGTTCAGCATCCAGAGAACGTAGGCACCAGGAAAACTAAAATCAGTCAATACTAAGGGGCGAGTATTGACTGGGGAGAACAGAGCCCCCAGGATTTTTTCCATTAGGAGTCTAGGAACAACCGCTGACAGCTTGGTGATCGACGGGAAAGTCAATGGAAAGGGAATTCGAATGACTGTGGATACTGGCGCTATGGTATCGTTGGTGCGGGCTAACTCAGTGCAAGGATTGAAGCTGATGTCTCTGGGAAGAAGAGTGTGTTTACGTACAGTTACGGGGGAAATGGCCGTTGCACGGGGAAAGGCTATCGTCGAACTGAAGTTAGGAAATTTGAAGTTTCAGCATAGCGTCTTAGTGGCAGATATTGAAGATGACTTCATCTTGGGCATGGATATGATTCGTCAACATGGATTTTCGTTCGATCACCAGAGAAATATCTTAAATATTGGATATGAAGAGTTCATGTTATCTCCAGACGAGGGACCAGGCAGAATGGATGTAAGATCAGCGGAAACTGTGGTGATACCTGGTAATACCGAGAAGATCGTATTCGGTAAAGTGGAGAAAATCGCTGGGTGCTGTGTTGGACTGGTAAAAAGTGGCGACAAGAAACAAGATAGGTACTTAGTAGGAAAGTCATTGGTGAACACCGACAAGAATATACCGATCAGAATTGCGAATGTTTTCCCGAATTGTGTCAAGATCCAAAAAGGTGACAAGATAGCCATCTGCGAACCTGTAAGAAGTGTCACCCGATGTGATGAGGTGTCGTCAGCTGTTACACAAAAGGCATCCCAAGAAACACTAAAACATCTAGAACAGCCATGGGATCACCTAACACCTGAGGAGAAACAGAAGGCCAAGCAGTTCCTGCTAAAGCATGGTAGTAAAGGCATCCCAAGAAACACTAAAACATCTAGAACAGCCATGGGATCACCTAACACCTGAGGAGAAACAGAAGGCCAAGCAGTTCCTGCTAAAGCATGGTAGTATTTTTGAGAAGAACAACAGTGGAAGAACGGATTTTGTGAAGCACCGGATTAATACTGGTCATGCTCAGCCGATTCGACAACGTCCTAGAAGGGTGCCCCTTTCCAAACAACAAGAAATGGAGACAATGGTAGATAAGATGCTAGAAGATGGAGTTATCGAAGAATCATCGAGTCCATGGTCATCTCCTGTTGTTTTGGTGACGAAGAAAGATGGTAGTACACGATTCTGCGTGGATTATAGGAAGCTCAATGACGTCACTAAGAAAGATAGCTACCCACTGCCACGTATAGACGACACGTTAACCACACTGGCAGGTTCGTGCTGGTTCTCCACTCTCGACTTAAAGAGTGGATACTGGCAAGTTGGTCTGGACGAGGAAGACAAAGAAAAGACGGCTTTTTCTACAGGAAACGGACTATACCAATTCAAGGTCATGCCGTTTGGATTATGCAATGCTCCAGCCACTTTCGAACGTCTCATGGAGGTGGTGTTAAGAGGATTAACTTGGAAAACGTGCTTGGTTTACCTCGACGATGTATTGGTTATGGGAAGAACTTTTGAGGAGCATTTGCGAAATCTAGAAGAAGTCTTCGGCCGCATACGGAATGCTCACCTGTACTTGAACCCGAAGAAGTGTAGCTTATTCCAGCGACAAGTGGAATTTTTGGGCCATGTAGTCTCAGCAGACGGAATTTACACTGACCAGAAGAAAATCGCTGCAATCAAGGATTGGCCTAAACCTCGCGACAAACATGAACTTAGAAGTTTTCTGGGTTTATGCACCTATTACAGAAGATTTGTCAAGGGATTTGCCAATATAGCTGCACCCTTACATAGACTTACAGGTGATGAAGTCGGCTACGAATGGAACACCGATTGTGATGTAGCCTTTGGAAGACTTAGGCGGCTTTATGTTCAAGTCCTATTCTAGCCTACCCGCAACAACAAGGGAGGTATATCCTGGATACCGACGCCAGCAATATCGGCATAGGTGCAGTGCTATCACAAGTGCAAGATGGCGAAGAACGAGTGATAGAATATTACAGTCGAGTTCTATCCAAACCAGAAAGGAATTACTGCGTTACCCGGAAGGAGCTGCTAGCAATTGTGAAGGCAGTTGATCATTTTCATAAATATCTGTACGGCCAAGAATTTTTAATTAGGACAGATCATGCGGCTCTCAAGTGGCTTATGGAGATGAAACAACCTGAAGGTCAAATAGCACGATGGCTCGAGAAGCTCCAACAGTATCACTTTACCATCCAACATCGTGCTGGAAAAATGCATGGTAACGCAGACGGTTTATCCAGAAGACCCTGTCAAACCGATTGTAAGCACTGCTGTAAAACGGAACAACGTGAAGGCACTGTCATGATAAGGAGTTTTAAACTTGGAACCGATGAACAGTGGACGACGACACAATTGAGGAAAGATCAAATGGAAGATCCAGACATCGGAGCAATACTACGGCTCAAGGAAGGTAACGGCGAGAGACCACCGTGGCAGGATATTGCGGACAGAGGGCTCGTTTTCAAAGCTCTCTGGGCTCAGTGGAATTCACTGGTTATTGAGAATGGATTGTTAAAGCGCACATGGGAAAGTGCGGATGGCAGCACAGTAACAACTCAGTTACTGGTACCAAGGAAGAAAGTTACCCAGGTATTGGAAGAAATTCACGGTGGTAAAACTGGAGCCCATCTTGGGGTAAACAAGACCTTGAGCAAGCTGAGAGATCGCTTTTACTGGGTGGATTATTGCGAAGATGTCAAGAAATGGTGTCGACAATGTAAAATTTGTGCAGCCAGCCAAGGACCAAGCACTCGATCTAGGGGAAAAATGAAACAATATAACGTTGGACTGCCATTCGAAAGAATCGCTGTTGACATTGCAGGCCCATTCCCTGAAACGCACAAGGGCAACAAGTACGTTTTAGTGGCGATGGATTATTTCAGTAAATGGCCAGAAGTTTTTGCCATTCCAAACCAAGAAGCATCGACTGTAGCTGAAGTATTAGTCATAATGTCTTCAGTAGATTTGGAATTCCTTTAGAGCTTCACACTGACCAAGGAAGGAACTTCGAGTCAAGACTGTTCCAGAAGATGTGTGATCTGCTTGGTATTCACAAGACTAGGACAACAGCTTTACATCCGCAGTCTGATGGGATGGTCGAGAGATTCAATAAGACCATTGAAGAACATCTCTCGAAAATGGTGGATGAACATCAAAGAGATTGGGATCAGCATATACCACTATTCCTAATGGCATATAGAAGTGCAGTTCACAACACCACCGGACTTTCACCATCGAAGATTTTATTTGGTCGAGAATTACGGTTGCCTTGTGACTTGGTGTTCGGATCACCAGACGACAGCACCACGAACGTAGAGGACTACGCGGATGAACTGAAGGAAAGGTTATTGGGAATTCATAAGGCCGTGAGAAGTAAGATTACGCTAGCCAGTGACCGGATGAAAGCTCGTTACGACCTCAGAGCTAATTCTACGGGATTTCAACAGGACGATATGGTATGGTTATATAACCCACAGCGCAAGAAAGGGAGGTCCCCAAAGTTAACTCCAGCATGGGAAGGTCCTTATACAGTCATCAAGAGGATAAATGATGTTGTGTACCGGATTCAACGCAGCCCTAGAAGTAAGATGAAAGTAGTTCATCTGGATCGATTGAGAGATACCAGACAGGAAACCTTGATCGGGACGATCAAATTTGAGAAGGGGCAATGTCAAGAAAAATGGCGTATCCGCCAGAAATTAAAAATGTATTACTGGTTGCCTGCACAACCGCAACGTATCCGCCAGAAATTAAAAGACTTTTTCAGGCGCCATCTTTTAGTCAAGTCGAGAAGTAAGGGAATCAGACAATGGAATTGTCTGGTATGAAGAAGTACGCTTTCCGAGAATTGGGGAAATTTCGAGAAGCAGTCAATAGAGTATATAAGCCGGAGCCATCGACAACTGAGACAGTTTTTGAAATTTGAATATACCGCGTGAAAATTGAAAATCGGACAATTTGGTGAAGGAATCTTATAAATAGTTAGTTTGTTGTGTGTTATAAGTTAGTAATTGTGTATAAAGTGAGAAAATAAATTCGTTAAGTATTTTATCGTGAGTTTAAATTAGTGGACCCACGGAATCCGTAACAATATTTTGTATTTAAAATTATGTTATTTATAATTAAATTTTATGAAAAAGGATTCAAGTTGTTTTCGTTTAAATATAATAAAATTTTGACATAAATAATTATTGTTTTTATATAGGAAAATATGGGGTATTTTTATTAAAGCGTAAATTATTCATTATGCTTATGCTCATAGCTGACTAAACTTTGATCATTTTTTAATCTGCCTGTCCTCGATTCTCGATTTGGAATTTTGTAAAATGACTGAAAACGGGCAATCTTTTTGCAGAAGTGTACAGAAAATATCATCGTTGTTTAATATGCCTAATTCTGATTAGGCTTTTTGCAAAGTGACTGTAGTCTTTTGTAAAAATTCCTTTTTTTGTGTAAAAAGCCGGCGTTTTATAATATGCCTAGTTTTTTTGCAAAAAGCCGGATTATTCTATACGCCTGCGACATGTATATTAAATTTCATGGTATCCAATTTAAAAAGTCAAGAAAATACGTTTTGAATTAATTTGAAATAATAAAACGTATTTGGAAATAACTGTTCTGGATTGTAATAACTTTGTAAAAATAAATGTTTTAACAATTTTAAATAAACGTATAATACAAGATTAAAACAAGCAATGGTGTTATGAACACGTTTAAATACTTGTTTTTAAACAAAATTTTTAAAATAGTACAGAATATAACTGACCAATAAAAAATATTTTCTAGGTATACAATTAAATACTCCAAATTGTGCAAGAAAAATGTATAATAATAATATAACCGGTGAAAGACATCCATCGTCTTAAGGCTTCTATATAATAGTTTAAGTACATTTTAAACTTATGTTAATTTTTATTTAATCCTAGAATATATTCATATAATTATAAACTAACTTTAACAATAAATTGACAAAAATAACAAAATATGTCAAGTATATAATTTAGATCGAATTTAATAATGCTTCAAAAATATGGGATTTAATATTTAAAATATATTAAATTTCTTTCTGGTCATCGTTTTAACGTCGGGTTATCTGTACATCTGTTTACCAGCTTAATACTCCTGGGATGTATTTGTCAATGAGCTTTTCGTAATAAGGCCAAAGGGCCTCGATGTCTGGTACAGTGGTACTTTTGGTATATAAATCATATTGACTGAAACAAAAAAAATAAGTAAAATAAGTATATATAGCTATTCGTTTAGCTTAATTTTCTATATTTCATATACCTATTTCAAGTTCATAAAAATAAAGTAAATTTGTATTATTTTTTTACGCTTATTAGTTAAAGTACTTTCATTGGGTCAACTTTCGTTTAGCTGAAATCAGTTATTACAAAAAAAAATTGTCTTTAACAAGCTAATGTGAACCACGGAAAACACAAATTTTTCTGCGGAAATGCGTAATTTCCAAATTTCGCACATTAGAATAACTGAAATCTGCTATAAAAAAATATATTTTGCATTTTATTTTTAATATTTTTCTGAACATATAAATACAAATATTTTCCTGCGGAAATAAGCTGTTTTTATTTTCTAAGGAAATTCATTGGACTTTAGAATAGCTGAAATCAGTTATATAAAAAAATAAATATATTTTTGCCTTTTAGAAGCATTCACGAATTGAGGAAAATAAAAATTTTCCTGCGGAAATAAACTGTATCCATTTTCCGAGGAAATTTAATAGACTTTAGAATAGCTGAAATCAGTTATATAAAAAATAAATATATTTTTGCCTTTTAGATCGTTTGCAAACTCAGGAAAATAAAAAATTTCCTGCGGAAATGCTTGATTTTCATTTTCCATTTTTGTAAGCATAAATACATAAAAAATTATCTTTTTATCACTTTTGAACCAAAAAAAATAATTTAAAAGTGTCTAAAATGCTAACCAATCTAATAATAAACTTAATAATATTTTTACAAGATCACAGTTAATTATTAAAATATGAAAACCACAGCTTAACACCCTCCACAAAGAAAAGCTAACCAAAGCAACCCAAATCCTAACCAATATAATAATATTTTTGCAAAATCACAGTTAATTATTAAAATATGAAAACCACAGCTTAACACCCTCCACAAAGAGAAGCTAACCAAAGCAACCCAAATCCTAACCAATCTAATATTTTTGCAAAATTACAGTTAATTATTAAAATATAAAAGAAAACTGCATGATCCAATGATTTTTTGTTTTGAATCAGCCTTATTTACGTAAAGCTTGAATAAAAAACAAGAATAAGTGCAACATTCCGAGGTACTCATAGTTTACAAGAACCTATGTTATCTATTCTACGAGAATTGTTATTCCTCCGAAAGATGTTTTACCCCACCCAGCACCCCTATTCGCTCCCGGGTCCCGTAAGCTTCTAAACTGAAAATGTATGAAAAACAAAGTGTACAAAATGACATTGACACATTTCCGCAGGAATTTTTTTGTATTTCTTTGCTCGTAAAGGCTCGTATAAAACAAATAATATAAGTTCATTTTTCATGTAACTGATTTCGGCTATTCTAAAGTCAAAGCATTTTTTTTATGTAAAATAAAAATAAAACATTTCCGCAGACACTTTTTTGTGTTTCTATGTTTAGAAAAATGTCTAAAACACACCCCGAAGACTAGTTTTGAAGTAACAGATTTCGGCTATACTAAAGTCCGAAAAATGAAAATGACGCATTTCCGCAGGAAAATTTTATATTTGTACTCCTAATGCCTTTTAGAATGCATATATAAAGTCATTTTTTATATAACAGATTTCAGCTAAACGAAAGTTGAGCCCTTTCATTTTATTTTGTCCTACTTTTAACTAACTATAACCCTTATAACTTTTTATCTTTGAAGAAAATGACATAGATATTGGTATAAAATATATCTTGTTAAACGAGATACCCTGTATATTACACCATCGCATTTCGTTCAGATATATATAAAGTCATTTTTTATATAACAGATTTCAGCTAAACGAAAGTTGAGCCCTTTCATTTTATTTTGTCCTACTTTTAACTAACTATAACCCTTATAACTTTTTTATCTTTGAAGAAAATGACATAGATATTGGTATAAAATATATCTTGTTAAACGAGATACCCTGTATATTACACCATCGCATTTCGTTCAGATTACATATGCCCTTTTTTGCTAAATTTTTGATATAAATGTGTAAGAATGGTGTATGCAAAATTAACATTATGGCATGTCGTCGTGAAACGTGTTAATCTGCTAACTGCTAACTAACTACTAAAGCTTGATTTTCATGCATCCGTTATCCGACGATACGATGGTACGATATTAATTTTATTGGTTGAATTTAAAGACTTCGATTGGTTAGAAATGGTTAAGAAATGGTTAACCAATCGAAGCCTTTACATTCATCCAATAAAATTAATATCGTATCAACGTATCGTCGGACAACGGATGCATGAAAATCAAGCTTAACTCCATTTTTGACTTTAATTAAATAATAAGTTTAATACATAATTTTTGCGTTAAATTTTTAACGAAATATTGGGTTTTATTGTTCCCCAACAAATATTATTGTTATATCTTTATAATATTACCCTACATATTTTTTGTTTAGTAGTTTAACACATTTCACCGATTTATTTGCGAAAAAAAAAGCGAAAGACAAGTTAGGTTTTTAAAAAAAACTAGGGGTAATTAATCAATAATATGGTAAACACCCAATAAAAATAACCTTAAATAAATGTCGATCTTTTGATAAAATGTAAATCTAATTAGCCGACCATACCAACAGGTCTGGTATGGTAGGCTATTAAGATTACGATCGGCAAAAAAAAGTTTTTTTAATTTCACTCAAAATTAGTTATTTGGGTCATAAATGACTTAAATCCAAAATATTTTCATGGTGTCTGTTTGTCCGTCTGTCCGTCTGTAATACGATAACTCAAAAACTGCTAAACCGATTTTAACCAAATTTGGCACAAAAATACTGTAGCACCCGAGAATCTGGCCATTAGTTTTTGGTGTGTGCGTGGGGGGCGGGGGGGGGGGGGTGGTAAGGGGGTATGGGAGGGGATTAAAATTTTTAAAAATCGTAACTCCAAAATTACAGTAGCTAGCGAAACGCGGTTTTCAATTTAAGATTAGGAATAATATTTGCAACAGAATTTGTAATAACATCAAAATCAGTCAAAGTCGCAGTTTTTAAGATATTTCGTGTTTCCGTAGTCCGTTTTTGAGAAAATCCGTGTGGAGAACTCCAAACTCCCATTGGACGCGACCCTATAGGGGAAATAACGGCGGATCAAAATTGGAAAAAATCCTTTACTTTGAAACTAAAAGAACTGCCTACCAACTTTTTATTCACATATTTTAGTATGGCCTCCCGGCGCCAATTTTTTTATTAGAAAATTTACAGGTTGTTATTAATTCTTTTCTTCTACTTACTTAAATGCAAGTACCCATTTCTTGGTCTCTTTTTGATCTTTCTCTGTTAAAAGATGTCCGTAATCACCACCACTATGCCATGGATAGAAGCTGTGGAATCTGAAATAATATGAAACTTGTATAGAAACATATAGTATAGGCCTGTTGCATTCTCCGCCGGTGCTGCCACCGCCGGAGAATATCCTAAATAACGAATACATACAAACACACGTGTTTAAATGGCGAGTAAACTAAAAAAATAGTACATATATAATTATTCCAAAAGTGTGACAAAGTATAATTTGTGGAAATTCTAAACAAAAAAATAAAAAGGTAAATATTTTGAATATTTTGATATCTTCAGAAGGTCTAACTTGCATTATAATCTAAAAAAAATTAGATGAGTTCAACTACGGTAGCGAGCATAGGTTTATCACCGGTTTTGCTAATGGGGCATAATTGGAGCTATTTCGGCTATAACGAAATTTTTTAAAGGTACATAATTATAATTTGAGAAGATGTTCATAAAACATTTAATCACTACCTAGTTGATTAAAAAATTATACTATTAATATTGCAAATTATATTTTATCCTCTCATAGTATATGTCTATTTAATTTTTTGATTATGTAACGAGCACTTTGTTTACTCACTTGTTTCGTCGAACTCATAGGTCGAATTACTTGAATCATTTTTGCTATGGATCAAATCGGTGTAAGAAATTATGGGGCTATAAAATGTTGTTTCGGGAGAGTTGAATATCCGTAAAGTTAAGTTATTGAATGTTATTGCACCCAACAACGCCCTAATTACGCTCTCCTTTACGCGTTAACATTTTTTTAGGCAATTTTATTAACATTTGAAATTGTCACAACACAAGACGCCTAGTTCGAATTCTTTTTCATTTATGTTTTACTTCCCGAAACAGCGTTACATCACACAAACTTCGTACCTGAGTGTGCCTGAGTGTTTTATAGCCTCAATAACTGCACTAGCAAAAAACTAAAATACTTAAATATTATGACAAAACTCCCATTTCAATATTATTTTAATGCGATCGACATGACGCGCAACGGCTTGAACTATATATTGATAATTTCTGATTTCTGCCGTAAAGTGCGCTGCGGTCGGAATTTGTTGAAATCAACTGAAATGCACCAAGCCTATACGAAAATATTTATATATTTATATAATTTTTTGTAAACACTGCTGCGTTAATCCAACGGAGACCAATTTGTCAGTGTTGGATTAACGTAGCTGTGTTTACAAAAAATGTTTTTTATTGTAGTAGATTTTTTTACAGCGGCGAAATACCCAGAAAACTTTTTTGAAGAGATGTAAGTTAAATATTTTACCTGATCATATTTAATGCATGTGGAGGCAGTTTAGCATTGTTATGTTTCAGCATTCTGTACAAGTATTCGTCATGGCCCCACGACATTACAAGTTTGTCCAGTCCACAATTTGGCTCATACATTCCGTATTTTGTGCTGAAAAATAAAATACTCGCTTTAAATATACAAAAACAACGTGTTAAAAAAAATAACATATAAATTGACAGCGACCTTCATTTCATAGCCATCGCTGACACTGTTTTTTTTCGATTATTTTTCGATATTTTTTTTACTCTTTTTACTCTTATCGCAAAAAAATTATGACGTTCGGATTTTTGGGAAGGCTTGCCCGGGGTGTACAGTTGTGTTGAAATGAAATTTTGTGAGCATATGTAGGTTAATTCAGAGCACTTTTTAAAAATATAGAGAGTTCTACAGGGTGTCCCCAAAAAAGTAACATATCAAAGTTGTGTTTTTTTGTACTGGAACGCCGTATATATTAATTGATTTTCTGATTCTCGGAGAAAAATAAAGGTGAGTTTTATAATAGAAGTATATGACTAAAATATAAGGTTTTTGGCATATTTAACATTTTCTAGAAATAAAGAACAATTTTTAAATTACAATAAAAGCTACCTAAATTCGAATATACCCAGTATAGCCTTAATATGTAGTTAAATTAACTATTTTACTTTAAATCATATTAAAACTTGATCCAAAAAGTTATACAGGGTGAGACAAAATTAATATTGAACATTGGTCACCTTTAAAAGCATGTTACTCTTTTATTTTAAATGGAACACCCAGTATATTATTCTTATATTCAATGGAGAATTCATGTCTCTTCAAAATACTATTAAGGTTGCGTATCCCTCAAACAAAGATTTTTCTAGATATTTTCATTTACATGATTTGATCTGGGTAGATCTTTATTATTTGATAAAATCTAGGTGGCTGTGATATGTGTGCCGTTACTTCAACATAGCTGTCTAATTAGTCCAACTTTAATAACTAGTTATCATTTTGTGTCAGTTAAAACACAAAAAAAATCTCAGAAATTTGTCGAAAATGCAAACAGATAATTGAAATGATTCTATTAGTTGGTGAATACAGTGTGCATTCACCAATTGATAGAATACTTAAATGCTCCTGATTTTATCTAGTCTGGTTTTTTATAAGGATATGTTAAAGAGAGTGTTTAAAAAACTCGACCAACTATTGTGGACAACATGAGAGAAACTATTGTAGCTGCTTTTCGAGGTAGAACTCTACATATGCCTTTTAAAATGAAAAGATCCTTTTGAAAAGATAATCATTTTATGCAGTTAATAGGAAAGGAAGCATTATGAGCATTTGATTTCATCTAGCTAATTTGTGTTACATTTAATTATAGGTTTATATCTAGTTTTAATTATGTAATAATTAATAAATTATGTAATAATTAAAATATATTTATGTAATAATTAAAATATATTTTAAAAATTTTAAACGTGTATCTTTTTATTGCCGTTGAGAATTTTACTCTATAATCTTTAATTTTTGTTAAATTAACGAAAGGTATATCACAGCCACCCGCTGATTTTTTTCAAATAATAAAGATCTACTGACGCAAAATCATAAAAATTAAAATATCTAGGAAAATCTTTGTCTGAGGGATGGGAAACTTTAATAAAATTTTGAAGATATATAAATTCCCCATTGAATACCGAAATAATATACTAGGTGTTCCATTTAAAATAAAAGAATAACTTGCTTTTAAATGTTCCATATTAATTTTGTCTCACCCGGCATAACTTTTCGGGTCAACTTTTAATTTGGTTTAACATACAATGGTTACTGTAATTAAATATAAGGCTATACAAGGTCAACTAAAATTTAGGTAGCTGTTATCGAAATTTAAAATTTATTCTTCATTTTCTGTCAAAATCCTTAGATTTTAGGTATATGCGTCTTTAATAAAACTCACCATTATTTTTTTCCTAGAATCCGAAAATCAATTAATATATAGGGCGTTCCATTAGAAAAAAACACAATTTTGATGCGTAACTTTTTTTGTAGACACCGTGTATCATTCTATATATTTTTATAAAATGCTTTCAGTTAACCAGGTTAACCTACATACGCTGCCAAAATTTCAATTCGATATAAACTACCGTTATCCTTGGAGTTCACCTTGACGTATGAGAGGCGCCATCCTGTACAAGTGATCATCTGATAACCCTATCTGTGCCGTACACAGACAATAGTTCCAAGGGAAAATATGCGATGGCCAGTGTTCCAGATTTCATTGCGGATACACGAAATATGTAGAAGATGTTGGCTGGATATCAAAAGACGCGTAGTCATTGTAATTAGGGTTTGAAAGGAAGGAAGTATACGAGACATGGGACAGAAAACGTAGGTATTTAGACGACACGAGGGCGAATTCGTGCGACCCATTTAGAAGAGATTAATTATTATAAGCGGTCGCCTTATCATTACGGCCCTTCGACCTTTCCTCGCGCTTCGACTTTCTCTCCCGTGTTTAACGACGAAATGACAAAGTTTCTGCAAGTATGGCAAGTCGCGCAACTTCTCCTCCGCAGCCTCGTAACGAAATTAGTTTCGAGCCAGAGGGGCACAGGACCGTATCTGGGAGTCTTTTTCACTGAAATCCGTAGACCGAAAAAGGTGGTCGAATGGAGAAGTCGGAGTTATGAGATGTGGTTTAATTATGGTAGAGCTTGAAAACGTAACAATCGTAAACGGAGACGTCGAAGAGATTATTGAAATTAGTATAGGTAGTAAGCAGTAAAGGTAACTTAGTGTTTTGAAAATGTTTTATATTATATTTTCTATATTTAATATCGGTAATTATTGGGAAAACTGGAAATGGTCCGATTTTCACCAAAATTGGTAGGTATACACCATACACCTTATTTTGAGGTCGTAGATTACGAATCTGAACCTGTTTTTCTTGGCGGTCTATTACCGTTTTTCAGAAAACGAAAAATAATGTCAACATTGAATTTTTCTTTTTTTCAGCCCTATAATAATTATTTTTAATACAAGACGATAAAATGGTATTTTATCGTCGACCAAAAAGATTAATTTCGGGAGACGATAATGCAATTTTCTCGCCGTGTATAAAACAAATATTTTTTTCCATAGTGAGTTACGTTTTAAAAAATATTCAGAAATTATTATTTCAAGGAATTTATTACGAGTAGAAAAAATATTGTGCTGGGTTGGCGTTGGTTTCTATGTAATTTGACAAATAAATAAAGCTGTCTCTTTAGTCGTCAGTTTTGAGCCAATCTTTTTTAATTCTCTTTCGTGTCGATTGCTGATTGAATTGGAGCCAGAAATGGCTCAAAACGACAGAAGAATAAGTTTTCAGTAATAAATCTATATTATGCAATTTTTCTAATCCTATCCTGTACAAAAGCCTAATCAAATTCCAAACTTCCAACTCACAACCCTTTTTGCCCCACCTAGGTGTAAAATCTTTATTATCTAATGTAAAATTAAGTGGATTCTTACTTCCCCACTCTGTTCCCCTCTAAACTTTTGTATCTACGCGGCAAAATTTGTTTTGCGTGTTTTTCTTTTTGTCAGACCACAACTTTTTAATTTTGCGTCTGATACACCTAGTAAGAACGAAATGAAGCCGCATATTGTCTTTTACGAACTTAAAAACTCGAAAAATATACCTCAAGTAGAACTTATATTGTCTATACCGGGTGCGTCTTAAAATTGTCTCACCTCTATAACTTTAAAAAATCGAGATTTAATATGTTAGTATATGACATAAATAAGGATTGATTGACGTATTCAATTATTTTCTGCCACCTCCTGTTTGTTCACTGCCTCCTGCTGCGATAAAATAATAACTGCGTACCTACTGCATTGAATATTCAACTAAACTAATCGAAAAAACTTAAAAATATTGTGTTTTCGCTAGGAAGAAAATTTTTCAGAAAAAATGTGTTATAGCTATTAATACCTATGTCATTTGTGTTTAAAAAAATACTGTTTGTAAACATAAAGAGTACCCAAACAAATAAAAAGCATTATCATCAAAAATGTAGGTACTAAAGGTAGGTACATTTAATTTTTGTTTAGAATAGAATTTGTTTGCGTGTTGCTAAGCGGCAGTTTGCGATATTGTGGTTATTCTGTCATCGATAATTTGAATATATGTCATTTAACAGTAGAGGAAGCATATCAAGCCATCGGGTTGCTTCTTGGCGGTGCGCGACAGATCGATGTGGCTGATCGATTTAAAGTCACCTAAAGTGCAATTTCTAGACTTAAAAACCAATTTAATGAGACTGGATCTGTCATGGAGAGGCATAGGGAGGGTAGACCAAGGTCGATAAATGCTAGGGAGGACCGAAGCTTAATGAGAGGAGCTAGGATGGATCCTGCAAGAAACTACACGTTATTCAGTCAGGACCTTTTGGCTGCCAGCAGAGTAAGTATTACTCCTCGGGCGGTCTTAAGTCGACTAAAAAAGCAGGTTTACATTGCTATAGGCCTATAAGACGCCCTCCTTGATTCTTCAATGATGTCGTCAGCATAAATTTCACCTGTCATTGTACCTTCACAGACATACAATTCCGTTCGGCCTCTGTAGAAAATTCCACCCCAGACCATTACACCTCTAACTCCAAAGGGATGCCCTTCTTGAACATATCGGTCGTTAAGTTTTGTATTTCTTAGTCACCACACACGAACTGTACGTCTGCCAGTACGAAGACAAAAGCGGCTTTCATCGTTGAACATCGCAGTATGCCACTCATCATTCCAGTTAGCTCTTTCATTACACCAGAGCAAACGTTGAGCTTTATGACCTCAACCTGACTCTCGCGGTTAACGCAGACTATGCAACTTCAGCATAAAAAAAATGTGTGTGCACTATGTGCGCATATTTGAAGTGAAACTTCTTCTTACTTCCGTCTGCCCGTCTTCCGTGTGCTCGTCTCTCAATCGACCCAAAATTAAGGAAAATCCTGATGATTTCGTCCATTTAGATGCATCGGTTCGAAACGTCAAGGGCGTCATAATGTAGCACGTCCCCAATTATGCCTAAATCGACCCACATTTTTTATTAATATCAAATCCTTAGTCATACCCTGGTGAAGATGTTCACTTACTTTATTTTCTCCCAATTCCCCCGTTGGCGTTTACAAAAAACACTCTTCTTCTTATCTTCCACCAGATGAGTCCATTATTGGGTTCCTGCTCTTGTACTATTTTGGCTTGTTGAAAAGGGAGCTTATTTATCAGGTATTTTATACCTCTTTGTTTAACACAGAAAAACTCTGGAGTGTGTTTATACAAAATATTTATTAAACTAAACCACCAGTACTCGAAAGCACTTAAATACCGACCTTTCTCAACTTATCCACACGCGCCGCGCTGGTTAGAATTTGATCTTTACAGTCGCCGAATCTTGACCGTTAATATATTCTCGCAATGTTTTTCCCGATTAAACACAATTAGTTGTCCAAGTCCCGACCTAATAGTTTATGTTAAATTAAATCTTATTGTTTTTCCGTTCCGACCGAATATTTTCATTTACTCTTAAAAAATCTACTACATTACGTTCAAACACTTTTCCCGACTTGAATATTACCGACAAAGTCCCGACTTGAATATTCACTTATTAAATTAAAAAAAAAATAAAAAAAAAAACGGTCAACATTTGGGCATTACGACGAGCTGCAACTGATATTGGCCCAAAGACTACTTTTATGAACTTCTGGACCCGTGTTTATATGCAAAATCTTGCCACTACTCTCGAAGAATCTATTGTCCCCACCGTTTTTAGGATGGCTACGTGCGTTTTAATTGGAGTATTTTTTTCTAATATGAAATTTTGTTTACTGACCTCGAAATGAGGCCAACGTTCGATGGTTCCTGGGATTTTCTCTCAGCGTGTGAAGAATTTTTACTTAGGTACTGGACTTTGGACTTTGTAGATTATAAAGGAAACTTGACCTTGTATGTAAATAATTATTTTTAATTATTTATACCTATTTGCAAAAATATCGGTTCACCACACAGACGGCATCAAATTTTGACGTTTCTTATGTCAAAACTACTGTTGCCATCCGGCTTTGCGAAACCACCGCTATTGCTATTTTCTAGACAAAACTCCCTAAAATTTTTTCGAAAGTCTAATCTCTGGCAATATTACACCTCTTGCTCCTGCAATTTCCCGTTCCAATTTCCATATTCCTTCCAACACAGTCTTTAGACTAACACTGACCTAATCTCGGTTCGCGCTGCCTCTAAATCCTTTCCATATCCTCGGTTTCATATTATCCTTTCAGTCCGAGAACGCCGGAGTTTTCCATTTACCAACACACACGCACTTTCACACACATATTAAAATTTTCATCTCGGAAAAGTTTAGTTTTGCATTAGCACGCAAGGAATGCCCAGCTTATAAGCTGAGAATTTCTTAGCAATGTTAAATTTTCCAGCTCAATTTATTGATATTAAAATTTTAGACAGACCGAAAAATTAGAACTGAACTTCTATATTAGGACTTCTTTCATGTGTTAGTTAGTAATATGCTGATGATTGCGCTCTATATATATATAGTATATATACTCTTGAACATATATACCTGGGCATACAAGGCTTTGGGTCTTAGCTAAACATCGGCAAAACTAAAATCGTGTGCACTCCCCCAGAAGATCACAACAATGCTATAAAAATCGGAGAAAAACTATTGGAATATGTAGCGGAATTCAATTACCTCGGCAGTTTGATTTCGCAAAAGGCCAATATCGACTGTGCAATTCAGCACAGGATTAGCAGTGCCTTAAGAACGTTCTGGAAATTAAAAGACAGGGTTTTCTACAACTTCACTTGATTTGAGCTACAAAAACGAAACTTGCAGTGTACCGAGCAATAATAATCCCCACCATGTTGTATGGGAGCGAAACCTGGGTGCCCTATTGCCGACACATGAACGCATTAAACAAGTTGCAACAGAGACACCTTAGACAACTCTTAAGAATTAAATGATTCCATCATGTCTCAAACGTATCGGTCCTTGAAAAAGCTAACTGCGAGAGTATTGGAGTCATGGTTAGAAAATCCCGCTTAAGATGTGCTCGCCACGTATGCAGACTGCAAGAAAACCGCATACCAAAATCTCTGCTTTACGGTGAGCTTGTAGACGGAAGAAGAAGCCGGGTGGACAACTCAAAAGGTACAAGGACATTTTCCAAGAAAACTTAAAGGGGATTAAGATGCAGAATGAGTGGGAAGAAGCAGCTCACAATAGAACTCATTGGAGAAGAATTGTCAACTCAGTTAACAGCGACAACCAAAAAGTAAGAGGCAATAAAGCAATGAGATTTTTGAATGTCCGGTGTGCGGTAGACAGATAACATCACGTATCGGGCTTTTCAGTCACAGAAAGACTCATGAAAGAAATCGCCTTGCTTGACTATCTTCTGATGCGTGTCAAATACTCATCAGCGAGTAATGGCAGTATGTATGTATGTTAGTTTTTAAACAAACTTTCAATTAAAAGCTGTTTCACTATCATTATCATCATTTAACATTTTTAGACAACTTCTTTATTTTTAAGATTTTGATGTTCAAACATCAACAAAATATTCCTTACGTTTGGACTAAATTTTCTCGAAAATAAAGACATAACTTAAAATTCCGTTACAATACGGAAATAGATTGAAATTTTGTGATTACAGTGATATATAATTTAAAATATAACCGTCATTTATGGCAACTTAAAATTAGAAAAAACAAAATAACTATTTCAACCAAAATGAAGATCAAAATTTGATTTTTTTAAACTCACTTGTACTTTGGATTATCGCCATCTGGATTATTGTGGAACGAGGTGTCCCTGTAAACAATACTAGGACCCCAATCTGCACCCACTACGAAGGTATCCCCTACAACAGACCATTGGGGTTCACCATAAAATGCCATCACCTAGAATATGACAGATTTAACATAATAAAGAGCTATATCATTTCCAGTATACAAGGTGTCATTGAAATGGTGTAAAAAAATCGGGGAGTGATAGTACTCCTAAAAAGAGTAAAAAAAGTTCCTATAAGTATAAAGCGGAAAATGCATATTAAGGTAGTTAGGGACACTGAAAGGGTGAATTTAAAAAACGGTTGTTTTAAAATTGTAGGCTTAAAGAACGAGATAAAATTCCGTAAAAAAATCCTCTGCCATAAATTTTGACCCTAAATCAAATGGCGATACTGAAAAATTATTTAGAAAAGCGGAAAGGGTAGTTTTTGCAAGGGTAGCGGGTTGGTTCGTGAATAACTTTTTTGAGGTTATCTTTTTTGCAACGTGAGTTCATTTTTTGAAAACTACTTACTTTTTCCTACAAAAAAGGTACTCTTGTTGCACATCGCCCAGAGCGATGGTTTTCGAGAAAATTGAAGGTAAAGGGTTTTATATGACTTGCTAACTGGTTAATCAACATAAAATTATGAAAGTTATGGCGGTTCCAAAGTAACCAAGTAGTTATTAAATCAAAATTTCATGATTTTTAAAACATCTTATTGCTTTAAAAATGAAATAATCTTTTTTGGTTTTAAAAAAATTTGGTTTTCTCAGTGCCGAATAATACTGAAGAGCAACTACGGCAATGCGTTATTGACTGTTCCAATCAAATTCGGACAGCAACAAGGATATTCCACAGGGTACGCAGATCGTGGAGAAGAAGATCAGATGTCTATATACATTGAAATGAATGGTGGTCACTTTGAACATTTACTATGAATGAATTAAGGAATGCATTATTTTAATAATGAATTTTGGTAATTGGATTATCTCGTTTTTTAAAGCAATAAGATGTTTTAAAAATCATGAAATTTTAATTTTTCAATTAATTATTTAATAACTACTTGGTTACTTTTGAACCGCCATAACTTTCATAAGTTTATGTTGATTAACCAGTTAGCAACCCATCAGAGCAAACTCTTTGCCTTCAATTTTCTCGAAAACCATCGCTCTGGGCGATGTGCAACAAGAGTACCTTTTTTGTAGGAAAAAGTAAGTAGTTTTCAAAAAATTAACCCACGTTGCAAAAAAAATAACCTCAAAAAAGTTATTCACGAAACCACTTTTCCAAATAATTTTTCAGTATCACCATTTGATTTAGGGACAAAATTTTTGGCAGAGAATTTTTTTTTCGAAATTTTATCTCGTATTTTAAGCCGCGAATTTTAAAACAACCGTTTTTTAAATTTACCCTTTCAGTGCCCCTAACTACCTTAATATGCATTTTCCGCCCTATACTTATAGGTACTTTTTTTTATTATTTTTAGTAGTACTATCACCCCCCGATTTTTTTACATCATTTCAATGACACTCTGTACAATGAATATTCAATGTACCTTTCCAGCATCATGGATAAGTCCAGTGAGTTGAAACCAATCGTCGTTAGGGTGATCCTTCCTGATTCTTTCTGCTGTTTGGAAAGCGTGGACGATATTGGGGATGTCAACATCTGGATCACTCTCGTCTACCAGTTCGTTTAGCTTGATGAGGGCGTCCTTCATGGTAGATTTGAAAGTGTCGAATTTACACCATAGGTCGATCTTCTCTGTAAGTTTTAAGAATAAATAAATGTAAAAAAAATATTGTCAAAAAATGTTACAATTTGTAGACAAAGGTAAAGTAAACAAACAAAAGAGAATACAAAACAAGTATACAAATTACATTGTCAGTCTTATTGTTTAAAATAACATTTATAAATGTTTACAATGTCAAAGAATAAGAAAATAAAAATAAGATTCAAAAATATTTAGTAAGTTTATAGTAAATATAGTAATAGCTAATATTAGACCAGTGTTTACAAGATCAAATTCGATTATCAAAATATAAGTCATTTACGGCGTAGAAATTAAGAAAATGATGTTATGGATTTGATTTCAAATGGCAGGTGATTCTGCATTTTTTTCGAGTTGTATAATATTGAACTTTTAACTAACTCTGAACGTGGGGTAGGTAGATAAAGATCTTGCTCCGCTAAAGTGTATAAGTGTGAGATGGCCTTTCTTGAGAAGCTGATACATGCTTACGTATTAGGCAAATGGATTCAAATAGAAATAAGGAAGGAAGAGTTAATATTTTTAATTTAAAAAAAAATCCTGCAATGAGTTCTGCTGTTTAGTCCCAGTGAATATCCAACAGCTCTCTTCTGGAGCTTGAAAATGCGGTCAAATTGAGTAGCACAGCACGTACCCCAGAATAGAAGGGCATATCTGAGGTGCGACTCAAAAAGTGCATAATAAACAGTTCTAGCCACTGACAAGGTAAGCTCCTTGGAAACAGATCTTAATGCAAAACAGGCAGAGCTTAATTTTTTCGACAAAGCGTCGATATGCATGTCCCATTTTAGAGAATTGTCTAATAACAAGTCCTAAGAATTTTACAGATTTTACGACGTTAATGGTGGTGTTGTTAAGTACAAAACAAAGCTTTAGTTTTAGAAATGTTGGGACTCAGGAGGTTCGAATCGCACCAAGATTTAATGGTGATTAAGTCATTTGATATAATCCTATGAAGTGCCGTGACGCCCTTGTTGCTCCAAGTGAAGCTAGAAAAAGAGTGCATCTACCAATGACCTCTAATGGCATCTACCAGGTACCGTGCCAGTGCGGTGAGTCGTATATTGGAGAGACAAAAAATGTCCTTTACATGTACAATTTGACGAACTTAAAAAATATACGCAAAGAGGTGAAACAGTGAAGTCGGGCATTGCAGATCATATTATGTGGTCCAAGTACCCATAACACAAAAGAAACAATCCAACCAAACATAAAGAATCCCATTGGAAAAAGCGCAAATTTAAAGAGACCGATTTCTAACAATAATAATAAAATCTTTAACAATCCAAGTATGGAAATTTCAACGATATGGCAACCACTCATAAAACGCTCCAATGCAGGTATTCTTAGTGGAGAACCTCATGCTTGACTGCACTCAGCTAATTCACGGATGAATGTTCGGCAGTAGATAAGCTTAGTAGTTTTAGGACTTGGACTAAGGATTTGTTTACTTCTGATCGAAACGTTGTGTAAGCAAAATAAAGACAATGGAAGCCCGAAATTCTTTTAGTTTTAATACTGAATTAATGTCTACCACATTTAAGGTAACATTCTGTTAATATTCCAGCTCCGTTTTTACTCCTATAATATTAATTTATTTTAGAAACACTATGAATTTTGATTGCTGTGACAAAAAAAATTGGTATTTTTTTGGTAAATCCTAATTTATCCCGTGTTTGATAAAGTAAATATTTTTGCAATGTGACATCAATAAGTAATATTTTTGGTAATTACTGGTGATAACTTTTGACATTTGTAAACATCTGTAAAATTCCTTCTGGGTTTTATTATTGTTTTATTTAAAGTACATTTAGTATCTTTATTATTTATATTGTAAATATTATTCTACGTAATTGTATACCGGGTGCGTCTCAAAAGTGGCTCACCTCTATAACTTTTTATTTTTTCAGATAAAATAACGAGATTTGGTACTTTAGTATATGACATAAATCAGGATTCATTGATGTATTCAACTGTTTTTGGTCACTTCCTGTTTCACCGGAAATGACTACAACTTTTGATTTTTAAATGGTACCTTCGGTATTTTTTTACTTTACTCGATAGCAAATTAAATTCTGAATAGAATGACATATATGTCAACTTTTGACATTCTCGCTTAATAAAAAATTGTATTTTAAATTTCAATCTAGAGTGCCATGGTTAGGTTAAAGACACTAATTCTTAATCAAGGAGGCTTGGAAAAATAGATTGGATCGTCTAATGTTTTTAGTGTCTTGTCCTGGCCAGTTAGAAAACGCTGAAATCGTATTTTTAATTATATCTCAACTTTTTTAAATGGAACGAGGGTGGCTCATTAGCAAAATTGGAATAAGCATTTTTTTTACGAATAATTTGATACCACACACTTGGTATTTCGAGTAAAATTTTCGTTAGGAACCGCAATAAGTTATTATTTCAAATAAATCATATGCGAAAATGTCAAAAGTTGACATATGATATGTCATTTTATTTGGAGTATTATTTTTTATCGAATAAAGTAAAAAAATACCGAGAGTGCCATTTAATAATCAAAAGTTGTAGTCATTTCCGGTGAAACAGGAAGTGACCGAAAACAATTGAATACGTCATTCAATCCTAATTTATGTCATATACTATCATACCAAATCTCGTTTTTTTAACTATAAAAATAAAAAAGTTATAAGGGTGAGCCACGTTTGAGACGCACCCGGTATATACGTAAGTATGTTTGAAATTTTCTGCATTCCTTTGATATAGAATTGTAACGTTACGTTCATTGGTTAAGTATATACCTTGGTACCTTGGTTACAGGAGCGGATACAGGAATTTATTTTAGTGGGGGCCCAAAATAAAAAGTAATGTAGAATAGGCTTTTTAGGGCGCCATTTTTAATCCACAAGCCTGATATTTAACACAAGTTACAGGTTTTGGCGGGGGGCCCGGGCCCCATGGGCCCCCCTCTGTATCCGCCACTGCTTGGTTATCTAGTTAAATTAAATGAAATATCACTCTTTCAAAAAAGTTAAATAATGATTTTTTAACTTATTTATAAAATTAAATATAGAGCATATTATATTTTTAGAAAGCCCACAACAAGACATAAAATTAAAATATAATATATAGGGTCCCATTAAAAAAAAACAAAAGTTTGAGACATATTTCCAAAATGACAGTTCCCAGTGAAAAACTAATTACGCCACTGGATTTTACGTGAAAAATTCTACAGGAAACAGTTTTCACCTTTTCGATTTGTTATAACACAACCAAGATACGAAGGGTGTCGAGAATTGCCACATTGTCATACTTTTATAACGTATTGTTTGAGATGGAATGAAACACTTTAGTTCAAGACAAAAGCATTTTTATGAATGTCGTTAATTACAGGTATTGACTAATGAATAGGTCATAGATTCTGCTGGGTTTATTCTAACGTATATAAATAGTATATAATACCGCATCATCGAAAAAAATGGCGTCTTGTTAGCTTGGAAATAAACATCGATGACATTCCCCAACACAATTTTACATATTAAAAAATGACAGCGATCTTCATTTTATAACCATCGCTGACGCCGTTTTTTATCACATTGAGCAGAGGCCAACAATATTTATTTGGAGTTGCATAAAAACACGTTTTCATCTTTTAGTCCGACATTAAATAATAGTCGGTAATATTATTTTATCAAAAATATTAACGTGAAAATTAAATACCTTACAGACTCCCGTACTAAGCACAGTATAAATAAGTTTTTTTCTTGTAAATAACTTTCTTATCGTTTGCATTTTATGCCCATGATGTTTGTTTTGGGCTTTTGTTCAAGTCTAAATATTGGTGCCTAAGTCTAAATATTAAGCGGCCCTCACACGATCAATAATATTGTCAATATTTTATCAATATTTGAAAGTTGGCCTGACACGGTCAATACTTATATCAATATTAAGTTTTGTGCAGATATTAAGTGTGAATTATACCCTCGATTATACCCTATGCCAAAAAATTAAAGATAAAAAAGCGTGTCATTTTGGCAGTGAGTGTCAGTCAGTGAGAAAAAATAGAGAAAAAAATTTAAGAAAAGACGTTATATAAAATATAAGATAACCAAAAAGAGAAAGGTTCGGCCAACTAAATCTTCTAGAGTACGTTAAGAAACGGGATAATAATTTCTATTGAACGAACCGTATTGTAAGCAATGAATCAATTCTCACGACTCTTAGAAGGCACGATCGCATTGTGATCCGATTCAATTCTCACGATTCTTTTTTACGGCTCATCGTTCAAATATTATGGATCCGTGCTGGCCGCGATTCTATTGAACGAACCGTATTGTAAGCAATGAATCAATTCTCACGACTTTTTGAACGCACGATCGCATTGTGATCCGATTCAATTATGGATTCGTGCTGGTCACGATTCAATTGAACGAAGCAGATTGCTGGCAATGGATCGAATCTTGCGATTCATTTTTAATACTCGTTCAAATGAACGACTCGTTCAATCTTTGCCCACCTCTAGTGTGTAGCATTATTAGTTTCATAAAAAGTAGCATGGTGATGTTAAAGCTGCATCTTTGTATCTCGACTCATAAACGAGAAATTCCGTATTGCCGAAAATAGGAGTTTTGGATTCGGAAGTTTATATTACTTCTTAAAAAGTTACTGGTTGTTATTTTTTCTATTTATTAGTTTGTAGTTGTACTCTATATTTTAAACTATCAGGGAAATAATGGAGATGAGACGATTAAAGACCAAGTCAAGCTTATTAGAATGTAGGTGTTTATCTTTTGGTACTCACTTCTTACGTAGTCTACTGTTTGATTTGTATGCATTTCCAAATAGGTTTTTCTAACTCTTTCTTGGATCGGATCTTCTTCGTCGATGGCATAGTTTCTAAAGGCCGCTATATCTTTGGTGGCAAACTTTGGTTCTGGCCTTAGTAGTTCAGAAGGATCGATGATATGAACAGGACTAGTTTCACTCTAAAAAAAATATATATAAAAAGTTGTTTATGATTGACTTTTGAACGATTTTTGAAAAATAAAGAGTCTTAATTAATTAAAACGACAAAACACAAAGGTACGAGGTTTGTGTGATGTCGCTGTTTCGGGTAGTAAAAAATAAGTGAAAAAGAATACCCACTAGGTGTCTTGTTGTGTTGTGACAATTTCAAATGTTAATAAAACTTCCCCAAAAAATGTTAACGCGTAAAGGAGAGCGTAATTAGGGCGTTGTTGGGTGCAATAACATTCAATAACTCAACTTTCTCGGATATTCAACTCTCCCGAAACAACCATTTTATAGCTTCATAATTTCTCACACCGATTTGATCAATAGCAACAATGGATTCAAGCAGTTCGATGAAACAAGTGAGTAAACTAAGTGCTCGTTACTCGTTACATAATCAAAAAATTAAATGGACATATACTATGAGAGGATGAAATATAACTTGTGCAATATTAATAGTATATTTTTTTAATCAACTAGTGATTAGATGTTTTACGACATCTTCTAAAATTATAATTATGTACCTTTAAAAAATTTCGTTATAGTCGAAATAGCTCCAATTATGCCCCACTAGCAAAACCGGTAATAAAACTATGCTCGTTACCGTAGTTGCACTCATCTAAATTTTTTTTAACTGGAATAGTAAATTATAATGCAAGTTAGACCTTCGGAAGATACATATCAAAATATTTACCTTTTAATTTTTTTGTTTAGAATTTTCACAAATTACACCTTCTAACACTTTTAGAATAATTATATATTACAGTTGAGGGTTGGAACCTTTGGTGTCTGATGATGAACAGTTTATAATCAACTGCTGATGATGCTAACATGGTTAGCGAAACGCGCGTCCAGTGTAAAAGTAAAAGTGTTTTGGTGTATTGTGGTGATTTAGTGTTTTTATTTTGATAATTATATACTAATTTTTTTGTTTACTCGCAATTTAAATCCGTGTATTTGTATGTATTCGTTATTTACTAGTTTTCCGGCGTTGGCAGCACCGGCGGAGAATGCACCAAGCCTACAGTCAGGGGTGGATGGGGAAGTGGAAACCGACCCGGGAATAACAGGCAACCGGCCCGAATCCACAAAAACAAAATGACCATAAAGAAGAAACATATTTTATATATTAATAAATAACAAGTGGTGGTGTCCCAGTAAATAACAACAGGGTGTCCCAGAAATAAGTGCAAGTATTTTAACTGGTAGTATATTTCGGCCTCAGAAACACGCCTATCAGTTTTTTTTTGGAAAATTTGGAATTTTTTGAAGAAATCTTTGGAATTTTTTTTAGTTTTAAGTTAAGAAAACATAATTTCTTGATAATCTGACAACATAGGTAGTAGATTAAATTTACATGAAAGAAAATACAGAAAAGATCCAGTGGTTCACAAAATTTAAGCAAAAAAGCATTTCAGAGTTCTACTGTTTTATTTCCATTATCGATAACTTTTGATCTTGAATATGCTACGATTTTGAATCACGGTTTTGAGAAACTTTAAGACTTCCTGTTTCATTCAGTTCAGCAGCTGGCCCAATCCTCTGTGAAATACATTATTTTTAGATTTTCAGGTATATACTTTCTTACAGATTGTAGAAAGAAAATCTCTCTTTTCTGCCTGTCTTTTCTCTCTTGCCTGCTGGGGCTAGTAGACACTTCTGGTTAATTTCATAAAAAGGACTGAGTTTTATTCATAAACACAAAATATTCATACGTCTCATAAATTATGAAAAATAATAGATGATTCCATATTAGTTTGGTTGTGTTTATTATAGTATAAAATTTATTATTAATGATAATTGCCTAACATTTATTTTATGCTAAATAAAAAAACATAATATACATAAAAATATATATTAAAATTCTACAAAATGCTTAATTGGTTTGAACTAATTGAATTTATTTTTTTTTTGTTTAGTCGCTCTTATTTTAAACTACAAACAGGTAATTTTCATTTAACTCTCAATAAAATCCAAACATAAAACTTTATATTTTATATTTTAATTGGTATCTATCTAACCGTTCCAAACAAATATGTTATTTTATTGACGATACACCTATAAAATTCTGCTATGAAGCACGAAAAAATATGTAAAAAATTACTTACGAGTACTCTCATGTTTATAAAAGCACGGGGGGAAAAAGTTATCCAATTATTTTTATTTTAACAAATATCGTTAATACAGTTCTAGATCTGTCCACTGAAGATACCGAACTGATTCTTTAAATTATTCAACACCACTTTATATATTTATGGTCTTATCGGGGTGTAAAATTTTCAATTTAATCTATTGTTTATCTGACCGGTATATCGCTGTGTATGTATTGCTGTTTTTGTTATTTTATATTAAATTTGACCCCTTGAGAGATAGTACGTACCGCACGTACCAACAATTTTATACAGAGTGCACCAGCATCCTTCAAAACATTGAGATATGTATTTTTATTGCTGTACGGCGCGGCGCGCCGTACTATTATATTATTAACCGCCGGCGCCGCGGCGGTTAATAATGGAAACAATGGCCCGTATGAATAAAAAGAAAGCAAATGCTCATGAATATGACCAAACGCTCCAAAATGCTTGGAAGCAAGAGCTTAGAGTAACAAGTCGGAGTATAAGCATCTACTCGAGTTGATATGAATAATGATTGGCTTATACTCAAGAGCATTTGCTTCAATAAAATGAGCATTTGCGCCTAGTCATTTCTGTCGAAATTTGCAAAAATTAACGTACACTCGAGTTGCGTCTGCATTAATTTGACCGTGTTTTGATTGTAAATGTAATTAAAATGTCCTCAGATACACGATACAACAAATAATACGGATGGAACTTTTTCTAATTTAACTCGGCACATATATTTCAAAACCGGAAACCGGAATGCGCTTAAGTTGGCCAAAACACCTTTCAATAATTAACCCTTTCTGTTTTAAATAGTCTGTTGTAAGCTCTTTCCAATGCTTTATTAGGGTTTCTAAACGGAGTCATTAGCCACGGTTCTAAGCCATAACCATCATTACCCAGTAGTACTGCCAAACCAAACTGTTGCATAGTTACACGTATATCGCATTTTCTCCAAATTCTTGCGTCGTGTACAGAACCCGGCCAACTAACATCAGCACTAGTAAACATTTCCATTGAGTTACATGTTGCCTGCACATTTAAAGTCGCCAATCCCTTTCTGTTGATGTAAAAAAATAAAAAAATTTTGTGTTTTCATCACCGTATTGATTTGGTTTCAAAATCTGAACGTGCGTGCAATCAATCACTCCAATAGCACTTAGAAACAGAAATTTTTCGCCACGCTTGCTGTGCTTCGTTTATTTTGGGTTGGGTTGTGAAATTTGATACATAAATGGGACTTTTCAACTATTTTGTTCATTACAAATGAAATTGTTTTTGAAACAGTCGACTGAGTGATCCCCAATTCTTCTGCTACACCCATCTGAAATCCAGGATTGGCCATATATCTCAAGAAAACCTTCATTTTATGATTTGAAGAAAGAGCGCCTCCTCTTCTTTCAAGATTTTCTCCCAAAAAGTACGTTGTCATCCAATATACATTTTCTTCTTGAAATCTCTAAAGAGATTTAAAATCTCGCCAATTAACTTCCCTTCGCACTTTGTATTGCTTCTGTGCACGTAAATTCACGAATTCTGCCATCTTATGACCAGCTTATTGCAAGGTGCATCTCCTACTAACGAGATGCAAAAATTTTGGAGCATATGCTCAACTAAGTAAGCAAAGCATACAATTTATTCATAACAAGTTGAGCAAATACTTAAATGTGAGTCGATGCTCATGCTTCATCTAATACAAGTTTGAGCAAAACCTGTTACTTACATTTTTATTCATAAACTATATAACATATGCTTCAAGTTTTGCAAGTAGAAGATTTTGCTCATTTTTATTAATACGGGCCAATATTTTGTGGAATATTTTTAAAATTTAATTTTCTAATTTTTCATCTTAAGAGTCTATTAACGCTGTACTGTTCGGATCGCTCTCGGGGGTCGGGTAAAGCGGGTGTGTGGCCCGAAGGAAATATATATAATATTTCAGAAATCTGCCTAAGGCTTACCCTATCTTGTCGTGTTAAGCGACATTCAAAATTCCAAACACACGTGCTTTGATTAAGGCTTGATTAAGGTTTGCAGAGCTTCAGCATTTGCCATAAAATAGCGAGCAATTTGTTACAAAACCATATAAATTTTATATCGCTGTAATCACAAAACTTTGATTTATTTCTGTATTGTAACGGAATTTTAAATTATCTCTTTATTTTCAAGAAAATTTAGTCCAAACATAAGGAATATTTTGTTGATGTTTGACAATCAAAATCTTAAATATAAAGAAGTTGTCTAAAAATGTACTACAATACGGATATAGTATAATCCTTTATCTTTAATTACCTTCTTCATTTGTGTAAAAATATCTAGCCAGTTTTACATAAAACGTTAGATGCCGAACGCTTATTTTGCTACTTTTTCAGACTGTTGATGGTATTTTTTAAATTGTTGATGCTATTTAGAGTTTCTTTATACAGGGTGCTACAAATTCATAGGTTTTCAGAGCTCCAGGAAGACGAGCGAGATTTCAGGCTGCCAAATCTGTACCAAGATATAAAGGAGGAACTGTAATGTTCTGAGGAGAGGTATACTTGGAGTAAAAACTCCATTGTTACCACTTCAACAAACTTTAACGGGTCGGAGATATGTTAATTTGGTGCTAGAACCAATCGTTAGTCTTTGGAGAGCTGCAATTGGGGACAATTTTAATTTCTTGTACGATAGTGCACCTTCCCATACAGCAGAGTGACTAGAGAATATCTTGAAACGGAAGGTGTCATAGTTTTGGACTGGCCTGCATGTTTACCAGATCTAAACCCTATCTAACACTTGTGGGACTAGCTCAAAAGAAGGGGTAGAGCTCGTCGAAATAATCCAGGGAAATATTGCACAGCTTATTGATGCAGCATTAGCAGAATGGAAAAACATACCCCAAGATAACATTGATAATTTAATAAGAAGCATGCCAGCGCGGATAGAAGCTTGCATAAGGGCTAGAGGTGGCAACAAGGAATATTAAAATTATCAATGTTCTTTTTCTTTTTGCTTTTTGGCCATTAAAAATTTAAATCTTAATTTCCTTTTAAAAAACAAACAAAAATACCATTCTGTTTATTTTGGGAACTGATTAATTTTTTTATTGCTATATGGATTATTTTTCATTAAAAGTCATTGGTAAGGCCTGAGTTTTATTCATAAACACAAAATTTTCATACGTCTCAAAAATTATGAAAAATAATAGATGATTTTCCATATAAGTTTGGTTGTGTGTAGTTTTGATTTCAGGACATTTTTTCTATTTTTAATTATTTTAAAACGGCTTAGAAAAATATATTTTTATTTATTTATTAATATCTTTGAAACTATTCTAAAAAAATTGTAGACGTTAAAATTCTTCCTGAAATACATCCTAATACATATTTTATCTGCGCTTATTTACACTGCAAGTTTTTTATTATAGGAGATACAGATGCCTGACGAACCCTGTATATGCAATGAAAAATTAAAAAGCAGTAGAATTGAGAATAAAAAATTGAAATCATAAGATTAGGTTCTAGTATTACAAATTGTTAAAATTTATTAAATTGATAAGGAATTATCAGGATAGTTTCAATTTTCAAAATATTGTATAATGTAATAGAATGCACAGTGTGAGTCTGTCCAACGAGCCATGAAAGATTTCGACAACCGACCTCCAAAAAATGACAGAAAATAATTTTTTCTTTGAATTAAAATGACAAACACAAGTGTCACTATCAGGGATCCGCTCGTCACACAGAATATACAAGAGGTATATATAATATACAAGAGGTATTTATTGGTAACATCAATAATTTGGACTAATTTTTAATGTTATATGACTAGAAAAGAATAGCATTTTTACAAATACTCTACTCGCAATTCTACAGTAACATGATTTTATTATTATTTGGAGGGTGTTAGAAATTGAATTGTCATTTTAATTTAAAAGTTAATTGTCAAGGTTGTCTGTCGAAATCGTTTCATCCCCTGCTGGATGGACTTTATATATAGATTTTAATTGATGGATTAATGGTTTACGTACAAGACAAATGTTTCATACAGCCTGTGATACAGCCTAAGGACGGTATTATCAGAGCGGTTTTAGTTGTAGCCCGGAGTTAAATACAAGAGCAGATTTGATATTTGCAATTCGTGACAATATTGACATTAGTAACCCGTTTTAATCGAGAGCAGTATTTGATGATACCGAGTACGATCAATGATCAATGTTCCTAAGTATAACATGCACATGCATTGGCGGATAGTTAAAAATCTCGTTTTTTATCTGAAAAAATAAAAAAAGTTATAGGGGTGAGCTACTTTTGAGACGCACCCGGTTTACGTATTATTATGATGATGTTGTATGTACGAGGGTTGTCTTTTATATTTTGAATATAGAGATCAAAAAACAGTAGGTAACTTTTAAATACTATTGTTTTTCGAAGTATTCTCTAGGAAGAGATGCATTTTTGCACAGTTTGGAACCAATTCTGAAAGCAGTTATTCCACTCGCTTGTTGGTACCGTCAAAATTGCGTTTTTGAAGGCGCATACTGCATCGTCTGTGAACTGAAATCTTTGAGCACGCAGTTCATTCTTAATTTTTGGAAAAGTAAGAAAGTCGTTAGGACTTAGGTTGGGACTGTATGAAGGATGGGTCAACAATTCGAAGTTTTCTTGTTTTAAAAATTCAGTTTTTCAGAGGTGTAGGAATTTGCATTGTCTTGGTGGATGATCATTCGCCGTTGGCCATTCGGTACACTGAAAGTCTCGTTTTTGCGCTCAAGTCATGAAGAAAATCTTGTTGTTTAATTTCCAGAATGCTCTTGAGGCGCTGGTAATTCTGTGCTGAATTTCAGAGTCGATATCGGCTTTTCCGAAATCACACTGACGAGGTAATTCAATTCTGCTACATATACCAATAGATTTTCTCCGATTTTTATTGTTGTGATTTTCCGGGGAAGTGCATATGATTTTAGTTTTATCGAGGTTCAGCTTAAGGCCCAAAGCCAAATATGTTCAACATTTCTTGTAATTGCTGTAACGACTTGGATTCAATTAATGTATATTTGGATGAAAAATGTTGAACGACGGAGCTTTTGATGGATAAATCCTTGGACATCATGTTTGGAAAACGGACTGTCCGTCGTATTGATGGACGCCTAGTCACTTTAGTTGGATCAGAAAAAACAAATATACATTGCATTATTGTTCACGTTCTGCACTGTATCAGTTTATTTCAAATTTATTTAG